GATCAGTCTGAACAGAGTTCTCTGGCTTGCCTTGCTCTCACTGCCGCCTTAGGAGGGGTGTTTGGATGCCCTGCGCCAGCAGTGCCATCCCACAGTTTCAACAGGCACTCCAGCAGTCAGGGGTTTGTGTCTGTAACCCATGCATCAAATCTGACAGCTTCGGATTCTACAGGGGCAGGGAGGAAGGGGGAGGGAAGAGGGGCTCCCTATTTAAGGCATGAAAACACGGGTGCTAATTTGTTCCTTGAGGGTAGCTTTGCGTAGCAGAAAACAAGTTTCCTTCCCATGAAATTACCTGGTGTTCCAATACACAGGAATTTCAATGCCCTGTTTCACTAAGATTTGTTAGGCAGGTTATCAAGTCTAGGAAATATGTCAAAAGTAGTATTCTACCACAATTTAGTTACTGCATTATGAAAGGTTAACTTCGTAATGCTAGCAAATGTTACAAAAACATAAACAGAAGTTTTTTCTTCAGATATCCCACAGGGCTGAATCTCAAGAGTAGACTGCATCTCAGCTACAACAGCCTGAGAGTTTGCCAGACCAGGTTTACATGGTTCATTCAAGGTTCAAGTTAACTGTTAATATCTGTGTTTAGTATCCAGTCAGTTAAAGCGTACTCAAGCCTCAGGGAATACATGTAGAAAACACAGATGACTTTCTGGGAGGAGAAATCCTCCCTGTCAACAGGGAGCAGACCACCTCTCTTGACTAGTGGGGCCCATCCAAGCAGCTGGTGTCACTGAAGCAAAAATACAAGAACTTTACTTGGCTCACTATTAACTGCCGGCCTGTTAACTGTGCAGATAGAGCACTTGAGACCTTAACAACAGAACCTATATTTCCTATAGTCTAGTGGTAAGTCTGCAGCGTAAGAACATTACCATCCTTCTCCTCAATAGTTCTAGACTGCCACAAGCTTTGGCACTTGTTTTCTTCTATGGTGACAACATACCTCTCAAAAAGATGACTTACTTTGTAGCTTTTGTTTAGCACCTTTTAAGGGTAATGGGAACAGTGTAAGCCTTCTAAAAAAGTTTAAGATTTTGAGAGATGTAAACAACAGATACTTATATGACTGGCATATCAATTTATCACCGTTAACATGATCTTAATTCTATAGACTGACTTACTGGCCTATGCCAAACCTTGCAACAAAAAGGTAAAAGAAATACATAGGTGCAGGAAGGTATAATCTAACTTTCTTGTCTTGAAAACTCCATTTTATCCACTCACAGTAGAAGAAGAAAACATGCAACAGCAGTTGCTTTTAAATTTCTCAATTCTAATTTCAATATAAGAACATTTGTTGAAAAGCAAGCTCAGGAAAGTTGCTACCCATCAAAACCACCTACTTGCTAAAGCATGAAGTTCTCTAAAGATACTCAGGGTACAAAGCAGCATGCTCAAGTACCCAGGTTCCAGATCAAACTTGCGACCTGGAGTTGCAGCTGTTTTTCCATCAATTCCAGTGTCCCTTCCCTGCTGAGGTTACCTCAGGTAAGTGGCAGTAAGGCTTTGCCGGTATTGAGGCTGCTGGAGAGCCCAAGCCTCTGTGGGTCAAAGGAAGCATGCGGGGAGGACCACAGAGTCTCCATCGCTAGGTCATCCCAGTGCTACAGCCTCATGCTGAAGCCCAGCCCACACTGAGCCTGCGTGCAAGATGGTGCTCATGAACACCTCCCAGAGCCGTTTCTCAATTACTGTCTCCAAGGTCTAGTGGTTTGTTTTGTGAAGGTTTTGGCTCCCAGCATTGCAAAGGCCATCTCCTCTGTTCTAGAAGGACAAATTTTTGTGTGCATGTACATTATTTAAGAGTGCAGCTGACAAGTCCCTCCCATTTCAGTGACACCACCAGCAGATCCGATCAGACACAAATATAGATATGCAACAATTTAAATGCTGTTCAATCTTGCTGCTATGCACAAGTCTTGTCAAATGTGCCTTATCTATATAAATCCCTTTGTAAAGATTTGCCTCTTTCATAACACCTACCTATGGTAGCAACTGTAATTACAATTTTGAAATTTAATTAAACCAAGCCTTTACCTAGCTACGCTGCTACAACTCTCCTTGCCTTGTTTTGTCACACCAGTGTTCAAGTTTGCAAGCTTGGACTGACAGATGACACGCCAAGCAACTCACTTGTTTTTGGGCAGTTTAATTTAAATATTATCCAGGTTAAGATATTTATAATCCAAGTGTTATACTGTCATGCCTGAGAGGCATGGATTCATGAACTGAAGAATTAAACTCCTGAAAGGACTTTAATTAGTTGTAATCCCTAGCCGATGTGTTAATACGGAAGTAAAAAACCCACACAGTTCTCAAAAAAGGAATTTAAAAATAGAGTCAACATTTCTAGAGTCCTAAAAATGTGTCTTAATTCTTGAGTACTCTGTGGAAAATTCAGTGCTAAGGTCTAATCTACTTTTATTTTTCTCTCAGCCTCCAAAGAGATCAATTTTAAATGTCAGTTATTACTTAAATTTAAAATTTATTTCCCAATGACTTTAAAAAAAATGTTTAAAATTAACTAAAGTGTAGCTTTCTCACTTTATTAAAAGGATCTTTACTATTCCAAATAGTCTTAAAACTAAAACCCCTGCACTGGTTGCCAAGACATGTAGGTTTGATTCCCAGCTCAGCTACAGATTTACTGAGTGACCTAGGCCAAGTTAATTCTCCTGTATCTTAATTCTCCTCTGAAACACGGATAATACTTTCTTCCCCCATCATCCTGCCTTTTCCCACTTAAGATAGTAAGGCAGTTAAAACACCCAAGAGAAGGGCTCTTATTTCAGTCGAAACTTAAGTCCTTTTCATGCACGGCTGATACATACCATGAGGTAGTAGGGCAGAAACTCACATCCAGACTTTCAAACCCTGTACATAAAAATTAGGTTTCTAATCATCTATCAAGGTACACAAATGCCTATATTACTTCAACTTTGAAAGGCAAGGCACTAACTCTTTTGAAAGAGAGGCTTTCTGTTCCTAAGACTAAACTTATACCCAGAGTTTCCAAGCCTTTCTGTTAGGGATCAACTTCTAAGCAGAATTTATTTATGAACTGCAGCTAGAATTGATGTCAAGGCAGCCATAGTTGCAAATACACCTAACCCAACCGTACTTAAATGACAAGACTGTTGGAGAACAGAAGTACTAGAATATGCTAGCATTATATATGCAAGTGTAATGTATTTGCTCCTTCTATCCACTTGGGCTTGGCTGGGAAGTGTAACAATTAACACAGACTGGATGACTGCTAGTGTCACCACATCCAGAAATACAGGACAGGTTCACTATTTGATTTCTTACAAAATGTAAGAATCATTCAAAAAGTCACAGCACATTTCAGTTCCATCTCAGTATTGGTAAGCGAGCATGCAGCTGCTTAGAGTTCTTCAACAACAGCCAACTATTAATGCTCTCCTTCACATAATGTAAGAGCTCAGATCAGAAGTGATGACACATGTTAGGCTGTACTCCGAGCCAATCTTGTTCCAAAGGGCAAGACAACAGACAGCAGCAAACATAAGCAGCATGCAAAACACACAGTGTCCCTATTAGTCAAATAAAGTTGGTATGTTCCATTTCATGTTCACTAGTGCTTTATGGTGACTATGACTATTTGAGAACCTTGAAGCACTCTATCTCTTTCTGCCAGGTGTAATGGGACCTGACAAACAGAACACTGAAACTCGCCTTGTTCTACTACCACCTTTACATAAGTTATGTTTCAATTTTGCTGGAAAGTTAATATTTACTCTAAGTCTTCTGTCTCTTCCAAACTGAAATAAAACCTTTCATCTAATGTACTTGGTATCTAACCAGACAGGACATACATATAAAACTACTATGCAACAACTTGTGTTAAATTGACACAAATCTATGTTCCAATTTCTTTGTTAAACAATCATGTCTTCTTAGATACAGTTCTTCAGTGAAGTATACATTGAGGAATTTTAAGTTTCCTCATCTTTGATTTCTTTAACTTAACTGGTTACTTTTCTTCTCCCTTATCTATTGTTGCTGCACTTTGATCCCACTGCCACACCCCACCTTCACTTTCTGCCCTCCAGCCTGAGCACATCGGGTTCCCCCAGCCCATCCTGCGCTGCATCCTGCCCTACCCAGCACAGTACCCTCTACCAAAGAATCTCGAGTTTCTTAATGAAAACATTTGTTTGCCTTTTATTTTGAAATTCTCCCCTCCTGCAAGATCTTACTAGAAGGGCATGCATTAAAAAAAAAAAGGAAAAAAATTATGCACTTCACTTAAGACTCAGAACTCCACTTCGCATATGCAGAAGCGGGATCGCCACAGCATCGCGGCTGGCACGCGCTCTCCACCAGCTTCAGCTGTAACACTCCCAGAGTGCCACTAGCAGCGAGTCAGAGAGACAAGCGCTGTGGTAGCTGGGCAGCAGTAAGCCCAGGGCTAGCCAGGACACTTGGCTAGCAGCACAGCCCACCTGCCCTGCGCCAGTGGCTCAGGCACTGCGTCTTCTGAGGCACAACCCAGGCCCCACACACCCGACACATGCCCTGACTGAAGAGTAGCACTGAAATCTGCATCATGTCAAATGCTGAAGTAAAACATTAGGCATAAAACATCTTTTGGAAATGACAAAGTTTCCACAGTAGCATTTCCTTGAACCTGTGAACAAGAGCTGCCAACTCACTTTACTTCTTCATGTGGATACACCTTTATCCGACACTGAAAGAGTTGCTAGACTTGGAAACATCTGCACAGAGCCAGAACAGGAGGCACGGCCAAAAGCTTTCCATAGACGCTGCTGTAATTACAACACATGAGGAGTGGGAGCATGAAATCTGTTCCTAACAGAGAGACGGAAGTCAGTCAACCGTTCCTATTAATACTGAAGAGCAAACTAAACTTGTTACAAAGTCCCCTGAGGTTTAACTGAGAGAAAGAATGAAACACATTTCATGCTTCACTAAAATTGGGTATCTATTATTTTGTTGCAGACATGGCAGAGCCAATCCAGCAGCTGACTAGAAACAACAATCCCCAGGGAAGACAAACCATCCCATTTACTCTGATCCAGCGCAAGGAAAAGGTACCATTTCCCGTCCCAAGTATTCAGACCTAGCTTCCAAAAATATGTTTCTTTATAGCATTATTTTGACCATTTAGGGTTTTTAACGTCATGAGCGCAAAGCATTGTAAATGGATAACTACATTTCATTTTTAACATTTCACCATTTTTACATGTGTGAATTTTTCTTTTTTGTAAGGTAGAAACTAGCAGGAA